TGGGCTCAAGCAAGTCTCCTGCCTCAGCCTCCCAAGTAGCTGGGACTACAGGCGCCCGTCACAGCGCCTGGCCATTTTTTGGTTGCAGCCATCATTGTTGTTTGGCGGGCCCGGGCTGGGGATTCGAACCCTCCACCTTAGGTGTATGTGGCTGGCGCCTTAGCCACTTGAGCCACAGGCGCCGAGCCTGCTTTATAATTTTGCTTTACCTTGTTAATCTACACAATATGCTAAAGGGCTTTAGTGGGCTCTCAGCTCTATAGGATGTGAGGATGCAAAATGAAAGTCCTATCCTTTGTTTCTTTAGATTCCCATTTGTGTTTCCAGGAATGAGTGCTGGGTTAGATTGTGGTCAGGCTGGTACCTGCTCAGCTCTATGGTTGATCCTGTATTGTTTTGTTAAAAGTAACACCTAGTTTGTGCTTTGTTCTCTGACTACATTTAATGGATCTATTCTCTGTGTTGAACTGTAATTATATAATTAAGAAGTCAAATCACTTACAATCCCAGATTATGCCATAGTGTTTCTAAAGAAGACAGGTCTGGGCACGCTTATCAGAGACCAGGGCAAGAGTCCTAGTACATATTAAATCTTACACAAAAATTGTTGGATGAGGTTTACTTCTTTCTTCTATACTCTGGGGTATATTGAAATATCTTTATAAGAATGTAAACTTCTGGGGTGGCACCCATAGCTCAGTGGGTAGGGTGCCAGCCACATACACTGAGGCTTGCAGGTTCAAACCTGGCCCAGGCCAGCTAAAACAACAATGACAACTGCAACAAAAAATAGCCAGATGTTGTGGTGGGTACCTGTAGTCCCAGCTACTTGGGAGGCTGGGCCAAGATAATCACTTGAGCCCAAGAGTTTGAGGTTGCTGAGAGCTGTGACACCATGGCACTCTACCCAGGGCGATAGCTCAAGACTTTGTCTCAAAAAAAAAAAATAAAAGAATGTAAACTTTTGGCGTGGATGCAGAGAGTAGGGAATACTTCTACACTGCTGGTGGGAATGCAAGCTAATGTGAACTTTTTGGTAAGAAGTTCGGAGAATACTCGAGGAACTAAAAGTGGACCTACCGTTTGATCCTGCAATTCCTCTACTAAGTCTATACCCAGATGATTAAAAATTATTTTACAACAAAGACATCTGCATCAGAATGTTTATTGCTAACCAGTTCATAATTGCCAAGACTTGGAAACAGCCCAAGTGCCCACTGACCCACGAATGGATTAACAAATTGTGGTATATGTACACCATGGAATACTATACAGCCATAAAAAGATGGAGACTTCACAGCTTTTGTTTACCTGGATGGAGCTGGAACATACTCTTCTTAGTAAAGTATTTTAAGAATGGAAAAAAAAAGTATCCAATCTACTCAATACTACTATGAAATCAATATGTAATCACCTACACATTCATACAATGGTAAAACATAACTATAGTCCAGAAAGTAAAAGGGAAGAGGAAAGAGAGGGGAAGGGAGGGGAAAGGTGGGGGGAGGGAGGGTATTTGGGGAGACCTCACCTAATGTGCATGATGCAATGGTACGTTTCAAAACTATTAAGAAGAGAGTATAATTGTGATGGATGTGTTAATCATTTCAATGCAAGCATTTCACATTGTGTATCGAAGCAGAACGCTGAACCCCAAACCCCATAAATGTATCAACATACACAGTTATGATTTAATAAAAACAACAACAAAAAAAAAGAATGTAAACTTCACAAAGCTAAACACTATGTTTTTATATGTTTGTGTAAATATCTATATTTTGTTGTTGTTGTAACATATCTAGTATACTGTATTTACATATAAAAATATCCAAACAACAAAAATAATATACAACAATATAAAACTCACTGCCTGAGAAGTATCTGCTTTCCAAAGAGTGAAAATAGCAACATTACCATTTCCAAAAAAGTTCTATAATCCTAATGCTTAGATGCTACTGGACATAAATTTCCTCTATTCTGTGAAGTTTTGTTGAACTATTTGCAAAACCCAGAGCACTGTGATTATTCTGAACAGAGAGTCCTCCATGCGCAACTACACAAAAGCAAAACTTCGCTAACTAGAATATTGAGAAACTGAGGTATTACAGTTAATTTATGACTAATTTTCTAGTTAACTAAATGCTGACCAGATAATCTCCTTTGCTTCAATTATTGTGGAAATCTTTTGAAGTGATTTGCTAGGCTGATGTGTCATATTCCTCTGAAAGCAATGGAGAAAAACCTCTGAAATCTAAATACTCTATCTTTCCTGATGCTTACTTGTGCTTTTCACTAGACAGAGAAAGCTATCTGTCCCGCAGTGTAAGGGAGCAGAATAGGAAAGCACTGAAGCTTTTCAATCCAATAAATGTTTGTTGATCTTTTACTATATGGTAAATCCTCACTTAACATCATTAATAGGTTCTTGGAACCTGTGACTTAAATGAAATAATGTATAATGAACTGTAGGTTAATTGATATAAATAAGAGTTAAGTTCCTATGGCATGTGTCTGGTCATAAAACATCACTACATTTCTAAATAAAGACTCAAAATACTACTCTTAAACATTGAAATCAATGTGAGTGTATATACTTTTAGGAAAGATTAATGAAAAACAAAGATGGGCGGTGCCTGTGGCTCAAAGCAGTAGGGCACTGGCTTCATATACTGGAGGTGGTGGGTTCAAACCTGGCCCCAGCCAAAAAAACAAAAACAAACAAACAAACAAAAAAAACAAAGATGACGATTTACCCAATCTTTGGTGAACTGAATAACAGTAGTTGTAGTGGTGGTGAATTAAATCAAGGAATAAATGTTTTCTTTCTCTCTCTCTCCTTCTTCTTCTTCTTCTTCTTCTTTTTTTTTTTTGTCTCACTCTATTGCTCAGTAGAGTGCCATAATGTCACAGCTCACAGCAACCTCTAACTCTGAGGTTTAAGTGATTCTCTTGCCTCAGCCTCCCAAGTAGCTGGGACTACAGGCACCCTCCACAATGCCCAGCTATTTTTAGGCACAAGGTCTTGCTCTGGCTCAGGCTGGTCTCCAACCTGTGAGCTCAGGCAATCTACTTGCCTGGGCCTCCCAGAGTGCTAGGATTACAGGTGTGAACCACCATGCCCTGCCTGATAAATGTTTTCAAACTGAAAATTATAGGGAGCGCCATCTCCCACCATGCAGTTAGAAAACAATGACAAATACGGTGGGCTTGCTGAGTGCTTTAATATTGCATTATTTATTGTTGTGCATTTGTATGATTATTGTCTACTTTACAAATTCTCATATTGCATTAATTTGTATTCATTCATATATTCATTTTTAATCCACTTATTCCAGCTGCCAGAGACTATGTTGGCAGCTTTGGGTACAAGGTAGCAACCAACCCTGAACATGATGTCACTCTAGTGCAGGGAGCACTTACACTTGCTCCCCACACTCACTCAGATGGGGACTATTTAGACATGCTAATTCGTCTAACATGCATACATTTAGGATGTGGGAGGAAACTGGTGTACCCAGAGAAAACTCCTACAGACATAGGGAAAATGTGTAACCCTCCCCCCACAGTGGCTTCAGCTAGGAATTGATTTTTTTCCCTCAAAATGTTATGACGAAAGGATATTGAACAAAATCATGTTATTTGAGGACCTACTTTATATAAGAACCTCCACAAGAAGCTTGGCTTGACTGCAGAAATTCTTTATCTTTATTTTTATTTTTTACAATGAGAGTTTCGCTATGTTGCTCAGTTGCCTAGGTTGGCTTTGAACCCCTGAGGTTGAGCAATCCTCCTGCCTCATCTTCCCCAATAGCTGGGACTACTGGTATGTGCCACTGTGCCTGGCATCTTTGTTTTTGTGAGGTGAATTCTCTGAATATCAATTATATCATTTTCAAAAAATAAGTACAAAAACATATTTCAAAATTTGATCTGATTTTTAGTATTATACCTCTTTTGGCTTTTCTCCTAGAGTATGAATATTAAACAGAGTTCTCAAGGATAATTGGAATTCAGTTGTGATTTTTCAAACTGTCTCACTTTAGTCAAGTGGGTGGAAAAGGTGGAACATTATTTCGGAATCTTAGGGGAGAACAGGAGAGCAGATAGAGAAGTAATATACGTAATTTAAAAACAAAGCAGTGCTTTCCTCCAATAATTTTGTGTTTTAGTCATAGTATTTAATGTTTTGGAATTTCAAATAATGTTAAAGTAAGGCATGTATTGAAAGAAAAAGAGGTTGAAAAACGTTGGTGGAAGGATATTTTTAAAAATTTTAAGAAATCAGAGACTTCATTTTTTTGTCTTCAGTCAAAAGAGCACATAGATGGCACCTGACAAAGGTTTTCAATTTAACAGAATAGCTAATTAGCCCAAAGCAGGCTTGATTCACTAAATATAAATGCAGAAATGGTAATTCTCTTAAAGAGCTATCTACAGTGACTGAACAGCAGGATGGTCTAAACTTTAAGTGGAAAAGTAAACTTGTAAATCTCCAAATACAATAAGGATATTGCACCTTTGCAACTCTGAGCACACATATTTTTATTCTGATATTTTGTGTTTCTGGCTGTTACTACTTTACAAAAGTCCACATAAAGAACTATTTATTATCCTTCATCTCCACTTTTTGGTGCCTTCCACATAATAAACATAAAAGTGGGGAATACACGCTCAGGTTGTGAGCTGCTCTCACCACTGAATTTTTTTCTCTATAAGCTGGGTATCCAAACTCAGTAATTTATAATTCTGAGTATAAGTATACTTATAAGTGGTTTTTAAGTTATAGGTGGTTTTTGGTTTTAGAACCACCTCACCCCATGAAGGTTTCACAGAACGTGCTATTTCCTACCTGCTATCAGTTTATAGATCACTGGAAAGGTTCAAACCAATCAGTTCTCACATTTGGAAGCAAACTGAAAGGATGCCTAAGGTACAGGCCTTCCTAGCCTAGTGGCTCCGTATGTGATGGACCTCCTGAAGTCCAAGGAATACTTACTTACCTCTAGCTTCAGAACATCATGCTGAAGTTTACGCTGAAATTCGAGGAAGTTTTTGATTGTCAGCTTCCCTTTGAGATCGGCTCCAAAAAAGTAGGTTGTGAGGGCTGAACATAAGCCAGACTTGAGGGTGTTACCAGTAGTAGGACGATCTCTGTGACGCATACCCATGCTGGTTTGGGAGCGAATGATGCTCTGAACCTAATACAGAATCAAACCCACAAAAAACAAAATTAAGAATTAAAAACCATAGAAAAATAAGAATAATAAATATTGCTTAATATTTGCCTACACCATGCCATAATTATCTATCTTAACACTGATCTTATAAGGTAAGTCCTGCTATTATCCTCACTGAGGCACACGGAGTTAAGTAACTTGCTCAAAGTCAAGTGGCTTGTAAGTAGTAGAAGTAGAATCCCATGCAGACAGCTGGACATTCTTTTAACCGAGTTTTCTTAGAAAAAATTTTCAGGAGAGAGTAAGCATTTGTTTTTTGAGATTCAAAACCTCTCTCACACAACTAAAATAACCTCATAATAATATTTTCTATTTCTCAGGAAACTTAAAAATTTCACACTTCTGGCGAGGCCCAAGGGCTCACGCCTGTAATCCTAGCACTCTGGGAGGCTGGGGTGGAAGGATCACTTGAGCTCAGGAGTCTGAGGCCAGCCTGAGCAAGAGCGAGACTACTCTCTACTGAAAGTAGAAACACTAGCAGGACATTGCGGTGGGCACCTGTAGTCCTAGCTACTTGGGAGGCTGAGGTAAGAGGATCACTTAAGCCCAGGAGTTTGAGGTTGCTGTGAGCTGTGATGATACCAAGGCATTTAACTCAGGGCAAAATGAGAGTGAGACTTTTCCTCAAAAAAAAGAAAAAAAAAATTCACACTTCTCTGTAGTTATTTGGAATAATTTACAATGAAATACATTAGAATAAATAACTGAGGTATTTTTAAAAGTATCAAATTAAAAAAACAGATTTATTAAAGGAAATTTGAAGAAACTTATTTTTTAAAGATAATGTTATCTTCATTATAAAATTAATCTGTTTATTTTTAAAAAGGCAAGCATACAGAAATAAAGTAGAAAATGGTAATCTTCCATGATCCCACTCAAGGAAACTGTTAACACTTATTTATATACTTCTAGATGTTTTCTGCTTAAATATATGCACATATGCATATATACATATGACATATGCACATTCATATGTATTTATATATACAACCAGACATATTTTATATAAATGGGATTATACTCTGTAATACGTTTTTCACTTAAAAATGTGACATCTTTCAATGTTAACACATATGTATGTATCTATTTGATACCCTTAATGGTTATACTGTATTCTACTATATGGAATTTAATTAAGCTCTTATTCACAGACATTAAACTTATTTCCATTTTTTTGCTTTTAAAGTAGAAATGGACATTTTAATTTATATATTTTTAGGTTTT